GGGTGAGGCCAAGGATGCCCGCGAGAGGCAGGGTGAGCGGACTGGGTGCTGGGAGGGCGGGAGGGCACGGCCAAAGTCAGGAGTGTGGGCCAGCGAGTTGAAGGAGAGTCCGCGGCGCCCGACATCGTGGCAACGAGATCATATTGCCCGCAGCGCCACACTCCGAGCGCCACACCGCTCGGGCCCTGCCTCGGACGGGTCGCGGCCGCGTCCCGTCCTCTCAGGCGGCGGCGCGACCCTCCCGGCTGCTGGCCCCACCTTTGACGTGCCGTCCCAGCTCCAGAGCTGCAGCACCGGCGAAGAGTCCTCCCCGCTCAGCTCCGCCGCGCTGGAGGTGGTGCGCTTGTACGACACGCCCAGCAGGGGGCCGCCATGGATGCCCACCGGGATGTCGCCCGACAGGGCGACCTACCAAGTCATGAGCAAGAAGCGAGGATGTGTGTGTGTGGTGTATGTGTGTGTGTGTGGTGTGTGTGTGTGGTGTGTGAGTGCGTGCTTGTGCGTATTTGTGTGTGCGTGTGTGTGTGTGTGTGTGTGCGCGCGGGGTGTGTGCACGTGCGCATGTGTGTGTGTGTGTGTGTGTGTGTGTGAGTGTGTGTGTGTGTGCGTGTGTGTGTGTGTGTGTGTGTGTGTGTTCCAGAGATGGGCACAAAGGGTCAGAAAACTGACCGACTAGGGAATGTAGGGCGGCGCCATAGGCAAAGCAGGCAGGCTGTGGGTCAGGGCCACGCACAAGGTGGCACAAGGTGCAGCTAGCCAGCTGCCTCGCAACCTGTGCGTCTGCAGCTGCTCCACACCTCAGTGAATGCAACCCCACGCCCCGCCAAACTGCATACGTCCTGAGACCCCACCTGTGCGCACGTGACCTTGGCCTGAACCCCGTCGACGGCCTTTATCCGCACCACCGACTGCATCGCCGCCGCCGCCGCCGCGTCCGCCGCTGCGGCTGCCGCCCTTGCCGCCTCCTTTTCTTTGTTCTTCAGGAGCCCCTTGGAGCGCGGCGCCACGGGCAGCGCGGGGGGCGGCTCCTCCAACACAGCAAACTGGTCCCTGCGGGGCGGCCGCGCGGCGGTGCGACGGCGTTGGGGCAGGGTGTTACACCAAATCAGCTCTTAAAGTAAAGCCTTCCTGAGTGATCTGGCGCATGACGCCGCGCGATTCCAACCTGCCATCGCAACTCACAAGGGCCGTGAATCCAGAGTGGAGGCAGGTAGCGGTGACCCGCAGCCTGCACCCGCGCGCGCGGCCCCCACCTGTGAGAATGCCACGCCAGGTCCACCCCAAGGCCCGAGTCCACCTCCTGCCAGCCGCCGGTGAGGGTGCGGTACCACACGCAGTACCGCCGCCCGGCCGGCCAGCAGCAGCTGACGTACTGCCCGCTGGCAGAGGCGCCCAGGATGGCGCGGCCGGAGGTGAAGGGCGTGGCGGCGACGGGCTCCTTTGACACCACCACTGGCAAGACGTGGGGGGACGGCCCGCCCAGGTCCTGGGGGTACGGCAACACAGGGGTGGGGGCAGCGTGTGTGTGGCGGGCGCGCGGTCACCGCCGTCCAGGCAGAGGGTCCGGTCAAGGTTGACGACCAAGCACTATTGTGAAGAGCCCGATGCACGGAGTGCTTCAAAAGTTCAGAGTGGTAGCAGGGCAACCCCACCGCCTAGGGGAGGGGGTCGGCGTGAACATCCGACACGACAAGGATGCGCTCAACGGGCCGCCCCGGCCGAGCCCCGCGCGTCCGCACCTTCTCCGCAGCCGCGCACGACACGTGCCACAGCGTGTCCCCAAACTGCGCCACATACGACACGTGCACCGGCTGGGGGTCGCCCTCGCGGCTGGGGCTAACGTGCGCGGCGGCCAGGTCGCGCGGCGGCAGGGCGGCGACGGGCAGTGGGTACATTCTGTCAAAGGTGAGGAACGCCATGCCGCTGTTGGCGCCGACGGCCGCCAGGTTTGGCCGCATCGGGCTGACCGCCACCGCATATGTCTTGGGCACTTTCTTCTGGCCTGCGGCCAAGAGCATAACGGCGCACGCAGGAACAAGCAGGCGTCATGAAACACGCAGTTGGCGGCATGTGATGTTCATGGCATGGCGGCTTCGCCTTGGTGGAAAATGGGGAAGCACCGAAACAGAGAGGACGGTGCAAACAACGGTGCGGAGCAGGTGGGCGCTCCGACAGGGGGCGCTCGCGCACACAGCATGCGATTGCTGTCGAGCTGCGTGCAACACCAGCGACACCGGTGAGCCGACAGCAAGTTGAATCCCATAAACATCCTTGGGGCGCCTTGAGCACTCACCTGGTGGGATGAGGGGCGCCAGGTCGACGCAGGGCCGCAGGGCGCGCTCCACTGGCAGGGCCGTGAGCGTGTACATGGCCATCACCGCGGCGGTGTTGACGGTCATCAGCAGGCCGTGGGCGCCGCTCAGGTTGAAGTACCTTTCAAAGCCCAGGGGATTGGCGGAGAAGCGGAGGCAGGGTTTCGGAGGGTGGTGTTTTTTGGGGCGGGGTGGCTTGAGTGTCGGGGTGCAAAGAGGGAAGGATGGAGCCTGCGTCCCTCGCGAAGGAGGAAGGGGGAAGGCAGATTTGCAATGCCTCACCCTGAGGCCTGCTGCTTGCTGCTGAGTTGCAAGGTCAGCTCCGCCTCTCTTGAGACCATCGCGCCGCCGGCCCGCACGGCCACGCGCCCAGTGGCCGGCCAGGGCCGCAGCGGCGTGCCTGTGAGAGCGCGCGCGGGGGCTGCACGACGCACCTGTGGCTGTAGGCGAGGCTGGCAGCGGGCGCCTTGGGGTCCAGCTTGAGCCGCCACATCTCCCGCAACGCGTGCGGCTCCCACGCCGCCACGTGCTTGTCCGCGCCGCAGCTGAACACGCGCGGCGCCGTCTCGCTGTCGTCCTCGGGGCCAGGGGCCAGGCAGAGCGACCAGACGCCGCCGGCGTGCGCCTCGACAGCGCGGGTGGGGCCGGCTTCCCGGCCGGCAGAGAGGGGGCGGCCGAAGGGATCGTACAAGAATAGGCCGCCGGACGCGTCACCCACAAGGAGCAGGTCACGAGACGGCACGAACACGCCGCTTGCACCCGGTGTGGCCGCCGCAGCAGCCGCCGCGACCGCGCCTGGACCGCCACCTGCCAAACCAGTCGCACCCGCGCCGCCGCCGATGCCGCCCCCGCCACCCGTCGGCCCTGCCGCTGCAGCGCCGCCGCCGCCCGTCGGCCCCGCCGCCGGCGTCCCTGTCGCCCCCGCGTGGCCCTGCCGCGAGGGCAGCACCAGCAGCGCCGTGACGGCGGAAGCCTTGTACCCCGCGCCGGGCGCGAGCCGCCCCACCACCCGCAGCGTCGCGAGGTGCACCAGCCGCACGACGCCGTCGGAGCAGCCAACCGCGAGCACCGGGGACGCCATCATGCTGCCGGCGGGGTCGGCGGCGCCGCTGCCGCCGGGCGCGTGCGGGCCGCCGCGGAAGAGGAACGCGACGCTGGTCGGCGAGCGGCCGTCCAGCTGCGCCTTGGTCACCTCGAACGGCTTCTTAGACAGCAGGTCGTACAGCACCACCTTGCTGTCCGCGACCGCGACGAGCAGCCGCGTGCCGTCCAGCGCGCGCGCGGCCGTCGCGCGCGGCGGCGGCGCGCCGAGCGTCCCGTTGACCATGTAGTGGGCGGCGGCGGTCTGCCAGTAGGCGACCTCGGCGTCCAAAAAGCGCACCTGGCGCACCCGGCCGGACGCGGCGCGCGAGGGGACGTAGTCGGCGGCGGAGGCGTTGGTGGAGAAGCCGCCGTCGCGCTCGCCGCTGCGGTTGATGGCGGCCTCTACGGCGCCCTCGTCGTCGGCGCCGCCCATTGAGAGGTCGTGCAGGATCTAGCGGGGCCGCGGGGGAGGTGGGGGCGCGGGCGCGGCCGGGGTGCCAGATGATGAGAAAGGCGAGGCTTGTGAGTGCGCGCCACCCCGCCGCCCCTTGCTCCTTCCTTCCGCTTGCCGCTGCCACGGCTGGCGCGCGGCAGCCGCAGACGGGATGGATATTCAACTGTAGAATAGTGGCACGCAAACGTGCAGCCAGCTGTGCGGCAAAGCAGGACTGCGCGCGCACCTGCTGCGTGCTCCAGTCCCAGACCTTGACGGCGTCCGACTGGTCCGCAAAGGCGATCCATGGCTGCACCGGGTGGAACTCCACCAGCTTCACCTGTAGCACCCCGCATTGAAATCATCACAATGCATGAACGAAAGCGGTTTGGATCGCTTTTGCAGCACTGATCTGGTTCAAGACCAACCTTTGCTGTGGTGGGCACGAAGCCCCGCAGCTGCAGCATGGTTGGCCCTGTGACTCCTTCACTTCTCTATGTACTCCGCCCCATCTTTGCTGCAGGCACCCGTGGATCGAACACTATTCTTGGCACTTTGGCCTGCTGCGAGAGCCTGAGATGCTACTGATTTATTTACAAGTAGTGCAATCATCAATGGTTGTGGCGGGCTGTACGTTACTCGTACGAGCTCCCACTCCACTCGACTACCGGTACGCTGGCGCTCAACTCCTGGCAGCATTGGTGCCGCAAGGTGCCACTGCACACCTCGTCCAACTACACTGCACCAGAGAAATTGACTACCCTTGCCCATTTACGGCCTTATTCCTCTTCAGGTAAGATATGCTCGCGCGTCATGGTGCCTGGCCACCCCACAAGGGGAAATCTAGATGAGTAGAGCTTTCCGAGAGGGCACAAGCGATGATGAGGCGGGCTCTACATTAGTTGGCTTGGCAGTCGGAATGCAAACTTTTAATTTTATGCAATTTTCACGGGAGAAATCGAGCAGCAAAGCCTGGCCGAGCGGCCGGAAGTCATGCGGGCAGGCCCTGATGTGGGGTGACTGACCGGCACCTGGGCAGGGTACTGCAGCAGTGCAAGAGCCGTTTGTGAGGCTAGCACAGGCTGTGTTTGAGCCACCGGCGGGCGTACGGAGGTCTTTGATACATTTTAGACTTAGGACAGCCTCAGGAAGTCAAAGTCTGGCCGTGCTGCTGGCTGATCGGCAGGCATCCTAGCAAACAAGGCTACCCCAAACGTGAGCCACTCACGCCTACCAGTTCTGAATTGCCCTGCCTACTGCCTGAGAGTACAAGTAAAGGAAATGTGGCCGTTATTACACTAACAAGAAATCATAAGCATGCAGCACAGTAAGGCACAGTGTGGGCTCGTTGGATCGTTTCATACGTAGGACAAGGCGGGTGTGACTAAACATTAGTGAACGCAGGCCGGGCATGGTGAAAAGTATAGGATGCTGTGTAAGAGTCTGAGAAAGCAAGGCGCGTGCCCCGCGGAGAGGTGCAGGAAGCCACCATCTAACATGGGCATTCGCCAGCAGCAAAAAAATCCATTTGGCCGAGCACGGCGCGTCGCGACCAACTAGTAGGGGGCAAAACACAGGGGGTTGCCAACCTAAGGCACTCCAGCTGTGCGTAACCATTATCATGCGCCAATCGGGCTCCTCCGCTCCCGTGGTCAGGGAGCAAGTCCAGCAAAGGCAACAACACTCGTAGGCACCTCTTTTCAATCAGCTGCTGCCGCCAGTGGTGCGTCGCTTGGGCCCCTGGCTCAGTGCTGCCAGGTACAGCTGCAGCATGGCAGGATCCTCGGTCTGAAGCTCCGTCATGTGCGGAGCACCCGCGTTCGCCGCCGCCACCGATGGCCCTGCTGCTGACGCGGCCTGAGCCCCGGTGCCCGTTGGCGCTGCGACAGCTGCGGGCGGTGACGTCACCTCGTCCGGCGGCGCGTCGCTGCCTGCGCCCACCATGCGCAGCAACCGGGACGGCGACCCCAGTGACCGGTGCTGCTGGTGGAGCGAATGCACCTGGGCACCAGTCGGCAGCGGTGGCTGCTGCGCCTGCGGCTGCTGCTGATGGTGTGCTGCATGCTGCTGCTGCTGCTGCTGCTGGTTGTGAGGAGGCTGCTGATCAAAATGCTGCACGGGCGGCAGTGATGGGATTTCGGGCTCCTCAGCCGGCAGCCCCAGCCACCTCTGCGGCCGAGGGACCTGCTGCGCCGACAGGGCAACCCCAATGCTGCCGTTGCCGCTGCTGCTGCTGGGCCCGCCCGCGCCGCCGCCGCTTCCGCCACTGCCGGCGGCCTGCCCATCGCTATGGTCATAGCCCTGTGTCATCCCTGGCAAGGGCAGCGCACCCGCAGCCCGCACGCTGAACGAACCGCCCTCCGCGGTCGCGACCGCCGCTGCCGCCGCCTCTGCCGCGCCGTCGCCGTCGGTCACGCTGTTGAAGCTGTCCGTGCGGATGGCCGGCGCCGCCGCGCCGCCCTGCGACGACACCCGCGATACGGGGCTGCCGCCGCGCGACATCTTGCTCTTGGGGGAGCGCGAGCGGATCCTGCGAGCGGGCGGCATCAAACGAAGACGGCGATTGCAGCAATTGAGCACCCACACCAACAAATGTGAACAGCCCTTGCACCGTTTCAGCGCGTTGGAGACACACGCCTCTTTCCAAAGCTTGTGCTCTCAGGAGTTGGCTCCCCCAACCAGGTGGCCAGCCGCATCGGGCCGGTTCACACGCTCACCGCGGCAGATTGGAGACGTTGAGGAAGCTCAGCTTGCGCACGTGCTTGTGGCGCCAGGGGTCGCGGCTGAACTCGCGCTCCAGCTGCGCCAGGACAGGGTTGCCGGCGTAAGTGCTCTCGTCCCGCGCGACCTGCGGCACCGCCTCGGCCCCAGTGCCGCCGTTGGCGCTGGTCTGCAGCAGGGCGGTGGTCCCCGTCGACAGCGGCGGGAGCGGCTGCGTCGTGTGCGGCGTGCCGCCGCTCGCGGATACCGTCGAGCCCGGCAGGCTCGCACCGCCCGCGGCCGCTGCTGCCACCGCTCCTGCCGCCGCCGCTGCTGCTGCTGCCCCCGTGCCCGCGGCCGCCACCGCGACTGCTAGGTTTCCGCTGCCGAGGGGCGTCGTGCCGTGCGAGAGCAGGCCGGTGCTGAACAGGGGCCCGCTGCTGGCCGTACGCCTGTGCAGGCTGCTCGCGCCCAGGCCGCTGAGCGCCCGCGCGAGCGCGCCCGAGCCGAACGCCCCTACCGATGCCCGCGCGATCGGCGCAGCGGGCGTGGCGGGCTGAGTCGTGCCAAGGGTGAACCCGCCAGAGCCGCCGCCGCCCAGCAGCTCCCCCGTCGCCAGGCCGAAGCCGCCACCGCCGCCGCCGCCGCCGCCGCCCATCGTGCTCAGGGTCGTGTGGCGCGAGACCGTTGGGGCGATGATCTCGCCGGTCTGAGATATGGTGTAGCCGGCGGCCGCCGCGCTGGCCCGCAGCTCATTGGCATCAAACACGCGCGACCGCGCATCGTAAGGTGCCACAAATCCGTTGTACCCCCGCCGCCGCATCACCGTCAGCGCCGTCCCGTCGCCACCTGCCGCGCCCCCCGCCGCCGCGAGCGCGGCGGCGCCGCCGCTCCCCTGGCCGGCCGCCGCCTTGAGCCCCTTCCGCTGCATCAGCCGGCTCGCGCGCGCCATGACGCCGGCCAGCTGGCTCCTCTTCCCCGGCACGCTCGACATGCTGTGCTCGACCATGGCCTCGCCGCGCCGCACCCTGGCCGCGATCTCCTGCACGAGCTGGTAGTACTGCGGCCGCAGGAAGCGCCGCAGCTGGCGGAATCCCGCAGTGGGCAGCACGCACATGGCCGGGACGATGAGGACGGTGAGCCAGAAGAACAGGGCGTTGGCGATGGTGCCGCGGAAGAGGTGGTGGAGGTCGGAGGAGAGGTCGATGGGGAACGCGCCGATCGTCAGCAGGAACAGGAACCACAGGGCTGCGGGGAAGGCGGGGGGGCAGGGGCGGGGCAAAGGGGGGATCGCAGCGGCGCCAGCTGCAGTTCACTTTCCGCGTCAGCACGTCTCAAACCGGTTCAGCAATGGCTTTCATTCGTGGAGGGTGGCGCAGTCGCCACCCCCACCCCACATCCCGCCCGAGCTCGAGTCAATCAGAGGACCCAGCAGCAGCTGCCTACCTATCGAACCCCAGCAGGAGGCGTGGTGCATCCAGGTCCAGTGGTCGATGACGGACGCCAGCTGCGAGTGCACCGTGGCGATGACGACGCTGAACATCAGGATGCCGTCCTGGGCCAGCCCCACGGCGTGGCCGGACCGGCGGTCGATCTGGTTTGCGGGCGGAGGGACGACAGGGGCGCAGCGAACGCGGCCAGGCGGCCGCCGGGGGACCGATCGCCGTCAGTGCGCTGTCGGGCCGTGTTTGTGAAGGGGGGCGGTGGGCGAGGCGGGGCGCGCAGCACTGGTCGCGTCTATGACCCTAAACTCAGCGCCAGACGCTGGGCGTGGACCCATGAGGGCGGCCTTCTGGAAAAGGGATGCGCCCACCTCTGTGGAGTCTGCGCCCATCATCACCGACGCGAGGATAATGAGAGCGTGGGCTACGGCGGTGGCCAGCCAGCCCGCGATCGCCGGCAGGTTGAAGTATAGGTTGCGCTGGCCTGCAGGCCAGGACACAGGGGCGTTGGCGGGCGCCACAACTCGTTGACTTAGAACGACACCATGATGGCACCAGAGTTCTAGGATTTCAGGTGCAGGCCCCGTCCGCGCATACGCCAGAGCCTGATCCGCACAAAACGTGCGTGCCCTCGTGTCATCTAGCCGCATTGTCAGCTGCCCGGCGTGCAGCTGCCCGCACAGGTTTACCACCCAAGCAGCACGCACTGGCCCAAGCCGCTCCATCGCCGGCACAGCGCCGTGCGCAGCGCACCCTCTCTGTACAGCAGCGGGAACCTCTCCCCGTAGACCTTGTCCAGGTCGCGGTCAAACCACCCCACCACCAGCGGGGCCATGGCCGTGAACACCACGTTGAACAGCGTCATGTAAAAGTCGTTGTAGATCGGCTGCCCGCTGTGGTTTTGGTGGGTTTTTGGGGTGAGCTGGTGACTTGGTGCCATGGGCTTGCTCAAGTGCTCGGGTGACTGCTACCAATTCCTGCACTTGCATGGGTGGCAAGGTTAGTGGAGGTCTTTTCACGTGTGAGCGCCGCAATCACACGTGCGGTCCATGGCAGCTGGCTCTGCGATAAAAAAGCCGTGTCCCTGGCTCAGCCTGCCTCTGCCGCCCCTTTCGCAGATTGCTTGCTTCTACCCCACGCAGCCCTCTCACCTGAACAGAGCAAAGGCGTTGTATACAAATATGGTGGTGCCGAACAGCAGGTTCTTGTAGAAGAAAAACAGGATCATGCGCGTGATGCGCTTGTAACTCAGGCGGCCGTGGACCAGCAGCAGCGGCGTCAGGTAGCGAAATTGGGCGATGGCGAAATCCGACGCCATCACAGCCTGGGCGGGGTAGTTGGAGTGCCACATGGTTCAGGGTTGATTCTCAAGGGTGGGGATGGCACGGGCGATGTATCACATGTGCAAATGCAATGCACCAGCGTGGACGCGGTCACATGTCCCATCTGCCCCACGATTGCGCTTGTGGCCAGCGGGCCGGGATTGAGGGCCGTCGGCGTCGCTCCCTCGCCAGCAGTGACGCGAGGAAACCCAACATGGGGGCCGTCGCACCAGCCCCCTTCCCCCCACGCCCACCTGCATGCCCTCCTGGCCGCTGATGCCGACGCCGATGTGGGCCTTCTGTATCATGCCGACGTCGTTGGCGCCGTCCCCTATGGCCAGCGTCACGTCCCCCCAGCTCTTGACCAGCGCCGTCACCTGGGCCTTCTGCAGCGGCGACACGCGGCAGCACACCACCGCCGCGCACTTGAGGCTCACCTGCAAAGGGGAAGGAGGCAAAATGAGGGACGGCAGCGCATCAGGTACCGGGGTGAACACCAATGCACCGGGCGCGGTCACACAGCGCAATCTTCAAGGGGTCGCGCCAACTACTTGATCACTTCGGACCCTCCGACATCAGCGCGAGGCAGCTGGCTGCGGCTATGCCCTGCGCCCGGCCCTAGTGAGGCGCCCTCACCCTAAGGAACAGGTTCCTGAGCATGGGAGACAGCCCGTACAGCAGCGCCTTGCCGTCGACGACCAGCGCGTACTTCACCGGCATCTTGGCGGTCAGCTCCTCCGTCAAGATACGCTCCACCTGATGGCAAATCATGAGGGCGGTGGTTGTCGAATTCAGGTGCCTGTTCAGGGCTAGTATCCTCCCACCCAGAGATCACTGCCAACACAAATTGTAATGCGTATGAAGTTCTGCAGGCAGGCAGCTCCCACCCACCCTGCCAGCACAACCAAGGGCATCACGCATCCTGTCATCCACCCACGAATCCGGCTCACCCGCTCAAGCTCGGTCTGCACGTGCGTGCCCGCCAGCAGCATGGCGTCCTCCATCATGCCCTGGTGCTCCAGCAGGTCCACCTCAGGGCTGTGGCCCGTCACCTGGAACTGCGTCATCTCGTCAGTGATCAGGCTGCACGCGTAGCCGATGTTGATGGCCGTCTCCTGCGTGTATGAGGTGGTTTGGGTTCGAGGTGGGTTGGTTCGTTGACCCGTGCATGGCAGGCATCCCACTTTTGTGTGGTGGCTGATTTGCTGGCCAATAGGAAAATTAACCCTTGACGTGTTTCAGCAGCCTAATCACCTTCCTGCAAGCCCTCCAAAAAACCGCAATGAACCAGCAGGCCAGCGCCGCACCATCTTGTCGCCCGTGAGCACCCAGAGGCGAATGTTGGCCTCCGCCAGGGCCTTGATGCACTGTGGCACTCCCTCTTGCAGCTTGTCCTCGATGGCGGTGCAGCCCAGCAGCACCAGATCACGCTCAATCTCCTCGGACACCTGGGGACAGGGTTTGACGTGCGGTTCTACACTCAAAGTTGTGAATGCTTGTCACCTGGACGCATGCAGGGGCGCTGCTGCGACAAGCGATTTCCTTTCCAGTCTGGAGGCAGTGGAGGAGCTGGTGATTAGGGCGCAAAGGATGGAGGCAGATGGTTGAGCTCCATGCCCCACCCTCGGCCGGGCAGCCCGCTCACCATGTCCACTTTGGCCTGGCGGTTGTCCATGGACGTTTTGGCGTCGATGTAGCGGTCCTGCCAGCTGGTGGGTACAACCATGAGGCAGCAAGCACAAAAACTCGGAATGAGCCTGGATGAGCGCAGTGAGCAGGTGACGCCGAGCACCAAACAGAGCAGTGCTGCAGCTGTGTCAAACCACACCAAGGGGTAGCAGCAAACCATGCAGCCCAAGTGCGTGGCAGTGCTGTGTGCCAATAGGCACCTGTCATAGAAGGTCGCGTCGAGCTCCTTGTACGCGAGGCACAGCGTGCGCAGGCCAGCGCTGCCGTAGTCCTCCATGTGCTGCAGTGTGACGTCACGCAGCGCCTCGTTGGTGGGGTGGCCGCGCGCCAAGCGCTCGTAGATCACAGTGTCTGCTCCCTGTGCCGGTTGGTGAAAGGCAGGCCCAACAAATCAAATTCGCGTACATGCGTGCGCATGTGCGTGTGTATGTGTGTGTGTATGTGTGCGTGTATGTGTGTGTGTGTGTGTTTGTGTGTGTGCACCCGCCCCTTCTCTCCTGCTGAACTAGCCTGGCTTGCAACCCAAAATCCTCCTCACATATGTCCACACCACCACGCCGATTGCATTGCGAGCGCCACCAACCTTGCAGTACAGCAGCAGCCTGTTGTCGGGGCCGCGCAGCACGACGCTCATCCTCTTGCGCGTGCTATTGAATTCCAGGATGTTGAGGACCTCGTACTCCGCCTCTTGGACTCCCTCCGGCAGGGACTCGCGCAGGGTCTGGGGGATTTAAAGTTGGGGGATTCAGGGGCTTCACAGGGGAATCTGTGGCGCAGGGTCTGTTGCTGCAGATAGGCACAAAGGGGCGGAACAGGGGCCAGCTTGGTGGCCGTTGATGGATGTGGATTTGTGCGGTACAACATAGCCAGGGCCCTCAGGGCCTCACCAGTATGGTGTTGGTCCTCTTGAAAAGGAAGAAGCCAAACACCTTGGCCGCCACCACCAGCGCCGCCTCGTCAGGGGACTCGGCCTCGTATCTGATGCGCTTGGGATCAGCCGGGCCTGTGGGGAGCATTGAGCGATGGAAAAACGGGCCTTCTGTTGAACGCGCCCGCCCTTCGTGTCTGGGAAGTTCCCGTGTTTCGCAACCTCGTCCCATTTCAACTTAGCCGCTGCGCTTCAGTGTCGTGTTTTTGTCCTGGTCGTGCCGGCGGCCTCGCTTCCACCCACGGCTCTCACCGTCAGGGATGACCGTGTGGCAGAGCGCCAGCATCCTGAAGAACTCCCGCGCCAGCTGCGGGTTGGGCTGCGCCGCCCAGGCGCCCCCCATGATCCTCTCGTCGTAAAAGTTGAAGTACTGCTCGCGGCACGGGCTCGCGCTGGAGCGCTCGGCGACCCCTATCTGGATGCCGCGCCGCTCCGCGTTGGCGCGCTCTATCTCCGTGATGCCCGCGCCATAGGAGACGCCGCCGATGGAGGCCTTGAAGAACTCCATCACGTTGCGGGTGAGGGTGCCGGTTTTGTCGGTCAGCACCGTGTTGACCATGCCCAGCTCCTGCGCGTGGTTGTGTGGGTGGGGAGAAGGGGTTTGGGAGGAGGGGGTGCATGTGAGTGCTTGCTAGTGTGTGCATGCTCGTGCACGAGTGGCTTTTTGAATGTGTTTGTGTGTGTGTGTGTGTGTGTGTGTGTGTGTGTGTGTGTGTGTGTGCGCGCGTGTGTGTGTGTGCGCGCGCGCGCTCACAGACCCATCCGGCTGCAGCGCCACGTCTTGCGAGTCAAGAGCCACAGCCCAGCGCACCTCATTGAGGTTTGACGTGCGCGCCACGGCGGGCGTGTCGCTCTCAGCGTGGTACATGGCCCGGTCCTTGCCGATGAACACAAAGGCCTGCACCACCTTGACCATCTCGATGGACACGTACAGGCTGATGGGGATCAGGTAGCCTGGTGCATGCGGCGGCGTGTGGCGGGAGGGGCGGCGCGAGCCTGGGCCGGACGACGCGACCCTGATGACGGCGCTGGCCGGCAAGCAGCGGCCAGGTGCCCAGACCCCGAGAGCCTCAGCGGGCGCAGTAAGCAGGTTTGCGCCCAATCAGCATGAGCGGCGCGTGGATCTCACTGTAGAGGATGAAGGACGTGATGAAGTTTGTGACGGCCACCAGCACGGGCTGGGCAGGGTCGTATTCGCGCGGCACATGGGCAGGGTCCAGGTACCAGTGCCCCGGCATCTCCTTGGCCTGGGATGGGGTGGGGGTAGTTTGTTGTGGGTGTGGTTGGGGGGCGGCTACATCTCCAATCGAGCCGCAGCCAAGGCAACGTGCAGAGACGCGGCCGTCCTTCCAAGGTGATGCTTGCTGATTGTTTTAGCCAGCGTTTTGTGTGAAGGCATTCTGGCATCTCAGCCGCCGGCCGTGGTGTGCCGGCTGCCCTACCCAGCCACCCAGCGGCGGTGTCCTGCCCCTTCCTCCCTCCCATCACGTGCACGCGCACCGTCCAAGACGCGAAGGTGATGCACCCCACGAGGCACATGGCAAACAGCAGGGAGAACATGAAGAGGATGATGCGGTCCACGGTGCGCTCCACCTGGGAGCGCTTTGAGGGCGGCTGCGTGGAGTTCATGAAGATCTTGGTGTCGTGGCCTGGGGTGGGTTTGCAGGTCAAGGGGTGGTGTGGAGCGGACGTGGTTGAGATGTCTAGGGATGCAGGCAACACAAGGTTGACTAGACAGGGCCGCGACGCAGCCAGGCAGCTGATGGGTGGTACGGTGAGTTTTGCATCCATGCAAGCTGCCTGTTTCCACGCTTCTGGTGCCTTCCAAGACTGCAGCTCTCCCAACACTTGTGGCCTCTCACCCGCGTAAATGACGAGCCCATACACCCGGGCGGTGTTGCGCAGGCTGCAACCGCGCAGCAGGATAGCCGCAGGCGGCACCGGCACCACCAGCGGCTCAGCGTTGAGGGGGCTGGGCATCTCCAGGTTGCCGGTGAAGTGGTACAGCCGGCTGTTGGGCGGCTCACAACGCACGGTAGCCTGGGTGTTGTGGCAACGCAGTGCTGGTGAATTAGTTTGTTGCCCGACCTCCGCACGAATTTTGGGCAAAGTGCACGCTGCTGGCAGGTAGCTGAAGCTGGTGGGCGCGGGGCCGCCTGTCCCCACACGCGCGCGCCAACGTGGCCGCCCAGCTGCCCCTTTCCATCGGTCTCGCCCACCGTCAGGCCTCTCAGCGTGTCGCGTGTCAGGTGCTTGGTCTCGTCCAGGGACTTTTTGATCTTGAGGTTGGTCTCGCCATCCAGCTGCATGGTCTCGATGTAGCACAGGCCGTCCTCGTTCTCAGCGGACAAGAACAGCAGATCCGCCGGGAAGTACTCATCCTGTGGCGCAGCAGGTGTGCACGTGCGTGTGTTTGTGCGTGCACATACGCGCCCAGGCGCATCCACATACATGCCTGCGCATGCACCTGCGCTACTTTCGGGCGTCAGCAGGTGCAGTACCCTGGCGCCCACAGCACCACGTTGCTGGGCGGCCGCTGCCCGTCCCTTGCGCCGCACCTTGAACACCGTGATCACGTCCCCCACTTGCACGTCCGACCATGTTTTGGTGACAAACCTCTTCTCCCCAGAGTCAAACACCTGCGTTCATGCAATCACAAGACGTCCGCGCCGCATGGTTCCTCGGCTGTGTATGGCGCCGTCGGTGAAGCAGTCACAGACGAGGCCAGAGGCCGCGCTGATACCCTTCGCTGCAGCGTAGTCGTCTTGAAGCTGAGATCACACACACCAGCAGCCGAGCTATTCTGCCACTGCCGCACTTCCCACAGCCACTTCCGCACTCCCGTCTTCAAACCTCGCGCGAAATCCATCGCAAGAGCGCCCACGCCCACGCCGCAGCAGCTCCCTGCCGGAAAGGGCAGGTAGCGCGCGAGGGGTTGCGCCCGGAGCCGCCCACCTCCACTGCGCGGTTGTTGACCTCCACGTCCTGTCTGTAGCGCTTGTAGTCCTCCATGGCCTCCTTCATCATGGCTATGCCCAGCACCAGGCCCAGCGGCAGAAAGCTCGTCCATGGCCTGGGAAGAGCAGCACGCGGTGTTGGCGAGGTGCCAAGAACCAGGAGGCACTGCAGCTCAGCATATCCCCCATGGCCATGGCGCAGTGCGCATTGTTGGAGAGGATGTGCAAATCAGAAGTCAATGTGGCCCAGCATGTCCACCATGCGGCTGCGGATGCAGCGGCGTGCAGCAGCTGCTGGCGGGCCCTTTGGGGGTGCCACCTTGCGAGGTGCTGCAGCGGTTTAGCTCACCTGACCGGACTGTACGGCGTCAGTGACAGCGCCGCGTTGAGCGTGAAGTATATATTGGCCACGCGCCTGCATTGAGATTCAGCAAACTTTATGAGGGGCCGGAACGCATGCCTGATATCGCCCCACTGCTAAATCAACCATGCAGACTGTTGACCGTCTTCTTTGCCCTCATCCAGCAGCCCGATCGGCCCCGCACCTGTACTGCTCGAATAGGGCCTTTGGCAGGAAGGATAGCAGCGTGTACTTGGTTGTGCTGGTCTGGTTGGCGCGGTAGCGCGCCTGCTTGCCGCCGCCAGGGAGCTGCGTGCGCGAGAGCGAGTGCGCCACCAGCGGAACGTGCGGGAACGACACGATCCGTGTCCCCTCCACGTCTCGGCGTCTGAAAAGCCTTGCCATAAACCCGCCTGGCCCGCCGTCCTCCATGGCAAGCCGCGCCGTGCGCGTCTAGAATTTTGCACCCATCCGGCGATCTGCTTAGCTGCCGATCATGCCACCAACGCCGTATGGGAATTGTTAAATCACTGTATGCGCATGCGGACCAGCGTGATGCAGCGATGCTGGCCTTTTGAACGCGCCTTTGACCCCGGGTCTGGCTTCGTTGGCGGAGTGTGAAACAAACAACTGTGCGCTTATGGACGGAAACAAAACTGAGAAATCCTGACGGATGCAGGCAGCGAGCCCTGCGGCAAAGGTGCGGCTTGGTCCATGCACTGCTGCTTTGGCAGCCGCTGCGTGCTGGTGGCCCAGTTGACAACGGCTGGATGCACCAAACCTTGCTATCAATCCAAGCGCCATCAACTATGGGGCTGATGTGATAAGTTGCACATTGCAGTGCGTGGTGTCAAAGCGGCTGTCTGATGAAACACAGGCATAACGCCCCGCCGCCCCCGCTCGCAGAGGCGCACCGCACAGCGACAGTCTGGCGGGAACTGTAGCGTATGCACACACGCTGCACCCTGACGCCCACTGAACTGATATCAACTAGACCAAACACCTGACATCTTCCCCCTCACACCTGCCTAAAAACGAAAACTCTCCACCCAGATGAACGTGCGCCCTCAGCAGAGTGCGGTTACCCAGGCAGTGAGCTGCCGCAAGCGACGTGCACCATGTCCTCCACCTTCACTATTTTCTCTCGCGGCTTCCCCTCGGCGGCTCCGCGCCGCACCTCCTCCGCGTCTATCCGCTGCCACCCGCCCCAGTCCACCGCACGCACGCACCGCTCGGCAAGCAGCCGGCGCAGGCCGGGCCCCCCAGCCACCTCCGCAGCCGGCGGCGCTGACAGGTCGTGCGCGATGCACTCCACCGTCTCGTCAGCGTCCATGGAGTTGGTGCCAATGATGCCAGTCGGGCCGCGCTTGATCCAGCCGCAGACGTAAAGGCCGGGGTCGGCTTCGCTCCCGCCCTTCTCTGTGCGTGTGCGAAGCGAGCGCAGAGGCTGTGTTTGGTCGACGCGCCCTGCAGGCACTTTGGACCCCTGCTTCAAATGCAGCGGCGCCCTCTCTGTTTTAACTCGGTCAGACAGACACCCTTCCCCGCTAGTCCAGAAATCCTACTACATCCGAGCTCCCAGACCCCAGTGACACCCACCTTTGAGCACGCGCCCAGCCCTGTTGGGGATGACGCCAGCGCGTGCGTCGAACGCGGCGCCCTCTAGCTGCAGCGACTTGTAGCCAATGCTCTTGAGGACGAGCTGGCATTCGTGTGTCTCAAACTCGCCTGTCCCCACCGCCACCATGCCGCCGCCAGGCAACACCTGAAGCTGCGTGCGCTCAACGCGCACGGCGCTAGCAGCGCCGGACGTGTCAGCGACAACCTCCACAGGGTTTCGGTAGAACTGGAAGTGTAGATGCCGGTCGGCGTTGAGCGGCTGCGATGCGGCTGCCTTGAACGGCAAGTTCCATCGGGCGGTGTGTGTATGTTCACGGGGAAGGGTGAGTGTTTAATCTCTCTACTCTGGCAGCGGTAGCACGCGGCTTTGAGCTCACAGCCGGTCCCTGAGCCTTGATCCTGCACCCATTCATTCGCATTGGCCCCTCGCTTCGGACAGCAGTGCCTCACCTGAGATATGAGGTCATACATGCGCCGCCGCATGCGCACTGCCTTCATCTGCGCCTCGTCACCAGCCGACACCGCCATCTGGTCGGCGGGCGCGTGGACGGCCACGTGGCCCAGCTTAACCAGCTCCTTCAGCTCCTTGGGCGTGCAGGCAGCCTTGCAAGGGCATGTTTGAGGCGGCGACACGGGTCAGCTTGAGGCTTCTTGGATACAAACCCTCAGGCAGTCAGCCATGATGACCACATCAAAAAAACTCTCGCCGCTCAGCAAGACAGCCAGCCAGGCGAGACACACCTGACAACAACCCACCAAGTCGGCCGCCGAAACAGGCAACCACATACCAATGGTGCAGACGGGCGCAAACACTCTTGCCTGAACATCCTCACCTGCACAGGGCCCCTACGTGCAAAGATGTGCACCCGCTTCACCCTGCTGCCCCCCGCCAGCTGCGACATGGCATGCGCAGCGATGTCCGTCACAGCTAGCTCGCTGGGCCTCCGCAGCAGCACACGCGCGCAGTCCAAGGCGACGTTGCCGATGCCGCAGATTGCGACGGTCTCCACCTTGGACAGGTCGACGGGCAGCTGGGTGGCATCGGGGTGGCCGTTGTACCACCACACAAACTCACGCGCAGCGAAAACACCTGAAGAGGACTCGCCGGGGACGTTGAGAGGGCGGTCGCTCTCGGCACCATAAGCCAGCACCACCTGCGGTGCCCAAGCGGATGCGTTGGATGTTCAGGGAACGGGGGCTCGCGGGGTTTAGGAAGTAGAGAAGGCGAGGTGGTTGTTCTGGGTGCCAAGACTGGCACGCCGCGTCCAGCGCTACTTCCCAACCACGCAACCCTGGGGTCGCCGACAAATGTGATTTGTTGCAATTGGTCGGCGCTGCTGGTGGGCACGATTTGTAACAGGCGCGGGCGCACCAGACCAACAAGCACACCGCATGGTAGATTCGCCGCAGCTCGGCCAGGGTAACATCTCCGCCGACGTTGACATTGCCCAGGTAAGCGACCCGAGGGTCCAGGCAGGTCTGGGCAAACTGATTGATCACATTCTGGAGAGCCAGGACAGGTCGGGGCAGTAAGGAGATCACTGTGCAATGAAATTCATCATGCCCTTTAGAATCTCTGTGCGGCTCGGTAGCGTGTTGGATGCTGTGGCATCACGTTGCTTTGGATAGCTCACTTCCTTATCCACAGTCCACATGAATTGTTGGGGCAGTACAAAATCCTCAAAGCAGCGCGTGCAGTACCCAGCAGCTCGCTGCCAAATAACTGCACCTTTGTGTCGGCATGGTCAGGAGCGACGCCTGAGCGCACCAGCCCAAAGGGCGTGGGCAGCCGGTCCTGAGACAGCGCGATGCGAGCAATTAGACAGGCCTTCTGCTGCTTTATATGACAATGCAGCGGCATCACACCTCCCTAGTGACCCACCAGAACATCTACTTGAATGTCGTTGCCGTACTTCTTGAGCAGCTTCGAGTGCCAAGGAGGCTCATGAGGACGGTGAGGTCCACGGCAGCAATCGCAGTGAGCGCCGCGCCTGCGCAGCACACGCTCACCTTCTCAGCAGTGTACAGCCCCGCGGGCCCACTACCTACGATACAGACTTGTAATGGGATCTGTTGTGCTGCAGAGGAAAGCAAGCGCTGCGCGGTGCGGAAGAGCACCATGCGATCTACGCGATCTGATAGCGATAGCCGTGACACAGCGATGCTTGAGTTTCAAGAACAAAACCGCATTCATTTTTTTCTGGCATGCGCTTGCACGCAGGTCAGCGATTAATACACGACTTGGCTGCCGCCATGTGCGATCCAGTCCAAGCACCCGCATCAATGAAGCCCATCCAATTGACAAGCGTTGAAGAATATTAAGTACCAACAGCAAGACGCATGTAATTGAGCTTGACACGGATCATTTTAAGCTGCCACCAGGATGGTAGCTGGGATTTGCACAAGGACGGTGACCAGAGAAGTGAAACACCTCCACGGCACATCTGCCTTACAGACGGCTGCTTTGCAGCAGCGACCACATCAACAACAAATGCGAATGGTACAAGGTTGAGTGCACTCCGTCGCAGCATGCAAACAATGACGAGAGTTGAGGACCGCAGGTTGATACCGCAGGGCGCCTGGAGTGGTCGCGACCGCCACCGCACACGGCAGATGTAGCCAGCAGCAGTTGGCTCAAAGCGATTTGAGTATCCCCACCACAAAGATATTCTTGACAGATTATAGCACCGCTGGCCAATACGGCTGGTTGGATGTCTGCACGTGGCAGAGAGCAGAGCACAGGGCGGATAGCAGATCAGCTGTGTGGCAGTGCTGGGCAGTGTTCAGACAAGAAATGAGGCAGAAACACTGGTTTGCACAGCAGCGTGCCCCTCGCCGTCCTGCCCTGCTAGCTTTGATGCCAGGCCTGCCAGTGGAGCTTGGCGGGCAGCAAAGGCACGTCCGCTGCGTGGCGGCGGCTGCGTCGGCTCGGGTGCCAGCAGTGCATCATCGTCATCGTCAATGTCATCATCACGAGCCACCTGCGCCGCGGCGGCAACAGGGGCGGCAGTGGTGAGAGTGCTGTCCTGCGCACCCACAGCACAATGCAGCAGAGGGCGGCGGTGCGCACGCTGCTGACTTGAATTATGACCCCCAGTCATATGAGCCAGCGCCTTGCATGCCACACAAACTGCACGGGCCTGCGCACCCACAGCACTCCCGGGCGCCAGCCGCTCAGCCGCGCTGCTAGCTGCCGTGCCGCTGCGGCTGCTTGCGAGTCCTCCCAATCCTCACGGTCTACTTCAAGCTGCAGCCAGGTCTTGCCCGCGTATTGCTCCACGCCGCCTGCGGCATATCGCTGCGCTCTCTGCTGCTGCTGCTGCTGCTGCTGCTGCTGCTGCTGCTGCTGCTGCTGCTGCTGATGCCGCTGTTGCTGCTGCGGAACCACCGCATCTGGTACGGCGCTCTCCACCACTGACTGGTTGGTAACATCCAATGCAAGATGCCCTGCTGTGGCGAGCTTCCCGCTGCCTCCCTGCTTTGCCTGCCACTGTTCATGCTGGTCGACGGGCAGGTCACACGATGCGTGGCGCAGCTTCGCCGCCGCAAAGCGAACAGCGCTGTCAGCTGCGGCTGGGGCCGCGTTTGTATTGGTGATATTCCCGAAGGCCTTTCTCGCGCTCAAAGGCGCCACCTTGAGGCGAGGTCCGCCCTGCCGAGCTTGCTTCACCTTGTTGTTGAGGGCGGGACCCAACTCCACGTTCTCGTCCTGCAGTTGTCGATGTGGATGCAGCAGCTGCCCAGCGTTCTCCATGGGGATGCGCTTCCGTGGAGATGGGCCCGCGATCACATGTCGAGCTGGCGGTCTGCTGGATTGAAATTGCGCTGAGGGTGCGTATCAGGGTACATCATACCGCATTGTAAGAAACATACCGTACACCTCCAAGACAGTCGTGCAGCCATGCACGGTGGTGCCATGCAGTCCAGTACCGTACTGTATCATCCCGTGGTGGACGAGTCCATCCATTCGCCAAGGCATTGGAGAGTAAGAAGTACCAACAGCAAGCAACACATGATTGGGATCAACATGGATGATCTTCAAGCTGCCACCAGGACGGTAGCCAAGGCAGAGACGTGGACCTCGACAGCACACCTGCTTTGCAAAAAGCTGCTCCACAGCAGCGACCCACATGTACAACATATGCCAATGCTACAAGGTTGAGGAACACTTGAAATTCTACAGCACTGATGGCCAACAGCGGCGAGCGCAGGTCTGCACGTGGCAGTCGTGCTGCCATGACGGCTTCCTCAGCGACAAGCAGCAAGCTGCCCTCATTAGTGGCAGCAGCACCTCGGCACGCGCTGCCCCGGACAGCTGCCACCACCCCAACCACCATCACCACCGAGCTCAGACTGCGCACCAACACCCACGACCATGCATCAGCGTGCACAAACAACCACGCCGCCGGCGCCAAGCCCGCCCCACCCAACTCAAGCGAAACGCCACCGCCGCCGGCCAAGCAGACTGTCACCCCTCATCGCAAGCAAGGTGGTGTGAGCTTGCTCCAAATGTCGTTCTTGTGGCCACCACCTTAACAGACCTGCGCATAATCCTTCCAACAAAAGGATTTCCATCCCAATGTACCGAACAGTTGGCCAGGTTATTAGCTGCGGCAACCAGGAGAACAAGCCAGGCTCAAGGCCAGCCTGCTGGCAGGTCAGCAGGTCGCGCTTCGTTGCCAGTAACGGCGCCACTGACCAACAGCCAAGGGTCGCAGCGTCACGCTGCGACCATTGCTTTCGTGCGCCCCCAACTGTGGTGGTATTCACCAGCATGATGCCCCCGCCTTGACGTCAGCCATAAGCAGCTACAAGGGCGGCAGGGAGGCTGCAACCAAACTGCACCACGCAGAGGCGGCGCGCACTGCTCCCATTGGTGACAGCTGCAAGGACCGAGACTGCAGCAAGGGTGGAGCATGCTGGCACCAGCACGGGCAGGCAATTCCTCTGCACTCCCTCCGTTGCTTGGAAAAGTTGCATGCGATATATACAGGTGGTGTTGGCGGAAGATTGGCACGGGAGGCACCCCATCTCGCTCAAGGCAGGGGCTGGGGGCTATTCGCCATGATATGCTTGGTATGTGCGGGGTTGCCTTAATGAAGCAATTGATGAACTGACTTGTTCAGCTCTCCAAAGCATGGTATGAACTGGGGCACTGCATTGTTGCTCGCTGCGTGTCTCTGCACCATCGCTGCCCAGTGCGTGCAGAGAGCCAGACGTTGGCCATCACTACCGGGTGTAGGCAGTACGTCTCAAGGTTTGTGCTGCGGTGTCAAATCCAGCTATGCCTGCCGGCGGGGTGCACATGATGGTGACGCACTTTCCAGCCAGCACCACCCATCCTCGCTCCCCCTGGGTCGCTGGTGATGCTGGTCCAATGCTCCCAGACGGACCGCCTTTTTGTGGTGAAGAAGTGATGTTACTCATGATCATGAATTTTTTAGGCGCTTTTGAAGCACGAGAGCGCTGACTTGACCACGCCGGCGCGCCGCTCTGCGCACTGCCGTAGTTTCCGATCAATCCCGATCAAATCCCGGGTGGCACGCATGAGTAAGTATCGGAGACGGGGACGCGGGCGCGCGCAGCTCATGTCTACATTGACTGAATCTCGATTGTTCTCATCCGCTCGCAGCGGGCTCTTGTGCCTGGCCCGCCAAGTTGGTGTTGACACTGTCCGCACCTGCCGAGTGCCTGCAGGTGAACCCGGCTCAGTAGGCTAGATCACGCCATTGATGCAAAAAAGTCTTTAATTTGATTACGTTGCTTGCTCGATACGTGCCATTTACGAGATCGGCACCCTTGTTGTTGTTGCGACCTTGTCGAGCGGCGACTTTCTAGTGGTGCGCGAGGCTTCAAAAGGTTATTAAAGGTATATCGAGCGCGTAACATCCAACAAACGGCTGTTCCTCAGCGTCGGCATGGGGCCAGGAGACTGGACAAAGCCACACCCTTGACTCGGGCCACCTGAAAGGTGCGCCCCTTTCGATTCAACAATTTTAAGGCCCTGTACATGCGCGGAGCGCTGTGCGGAGGGCCGCAGCTCCACGCCGTTCCGATGTTGGGGCGCATGTTGAGCGTCTGGCTGCAGCGCCTGGCGTCCCTCTGGCGCCTTGCCTCGGCCGCTCGAGGCGGTGGTTGAGGAGCAACAGAGGTGCTCCGTGGACTTCTTTGGGTCCACGGCACCATGCTTGGAGGGTGCAGAGTGCTCTGCTGCGCAGAAGCGGGCACACAGGCGGAGTGTGCAAGGGCTCGGGCTGCAGCAGGCGGCCGCTGCCTGCCCCCCCCCCCCCACACACCCAAAGTCTTGCCTTGCAACAGACAGCGTGTACACATCGCATCCATCCTGCCCTGTCTTTCCTTCTTTTACCGTACAGAGTCAGCCGGCCAGCCCGGGCGCCCCGTGCAGCCGCTGGCTGCGTCAGCGGCGGCGCCCAGGTGCCAGTGCGGCGACGCAGGCCTGCTGCTGCGGCTGCTGCTGCTGCCCAGGCCGGCGCGATGAGCTCCGTCCGCACGGTGCGGCCGCGCCCGCTGGGGTCGGAGGAGCGCATCCCGGTGTTCTGGGCGGGCCAGGAGGCGCCGCCGGAGATCCGTGCCGTCGACGGCGGCTCGTTGTACAGATACCTGGTGTCAGGCACGCCAAAAGCCGGCCAAAAGCGCGCGCGCGGGGACAAGTACCATGCGCCTCGCGAGGTGGGGAGGGCGGCTGGCTGCGGGGCGCGATGGGCACGAGGCCCTTGGAGCTTGCGGGAGTTGCGGGCGCAGCTGATTTGGGGCCACTCGGGTCGGCGGCACGTTTGTTGAGTGGCCGATGAGCCCTGCCTTTACCACCATGCTGCGTTCATCATATGCTGCACATGCGTGCAACAGCAGGCCGCACCTCCCGGACCCGCCAGCGGGCAGAAAGCCCGCAAGAAGGAGAGCCCTGACGTGAGTGCCCAGGCAGGGTGCAGGCCTCGCATTGGTACGCAAATCAGGCCTGCCAGGGTGTTGCGGGCCGCGTTGGTTTTGATTGGCGTTGGCCGCAGGCTCGGTTGGCGCCCTTGGCAGCCGGCTGACGTCCCCTGTCTCACTCACCGCTCTTTGTTAGGAGGCGCGCATCCACATTCCGCGCGTGCGCCTAGTGGCCGACTACCACCGCAACGTCAGTGCGCTGCAGCCCAAGCCCACATTTGCCAGCACCCCGGGCGGCGCCCTGGCGATGCCCTACGTGCGGTGGGCGCCGCCGCTGCCTGGCATGTACGACGACCGGCCCCCTGAGTACGACGTGGACGACGCTGACGAGGCGTGGCTGGCAAAGGCGAACACTGCGGCCGCCGCCGAGGCGGGCGCAGCGGGCGGCAGCGTGGGCGGCGGCGGCGCGAGGGGTAGCAGCGGCCGCGGTGGCGGCGGCGGCAGCGGCGGTGCCGGCCACAACGGTGGCATCATAGCGGCCGCACGTGGGCTGTATGCAACGGTGGCCAGCCGATTCCGCACGGGCAGCGGCAATCTGGGCACAGAGTCGCCGACAGCCCGCGAATCTCTGGCGGATGGCGGAGCAGGCAGCGGACCCCCCGCGCTGGGTGTTGTGGAGTTCGAGCGGGCGATTGAGAAGCTGGAGTTGCTGCACTTCACGGCTGTTGGGAAGTGGTGGAGCGACCTGAATGATGGTGGGTTTGGTTGAAACGGGGGCACATTCAATGCAGGTGCTGGTGCTGGTAGGCCGTGATGAATGCAGGCAGGCCTGGCAGCTATGGGAATTGGGGTTTCAGGATGGAAAGCCCGCCTCAAGCTTCCCCCGCCGGAGCACACGGTGACGTTTCCCTAACATGCGCACGTCAGTGTAAGCATCCCCGCTGCTCCTCCGACCTCTCTGGCACCCTGTTTGACCGCTTACTGCCCCTTGCAGGCCCGTCGACTTCCGCGCCGTCCCAGGCGCCCAAGATACCGGCGACCAAGCAGCTGCTGCCCAAGGCGCGTGCTGTGGAGGAGCTGGGCGAGCTGGTAGCTGACAGGAAGCTGGCGGGGCAGCTGTATGACCACTGGCTCAAGCGGCGGCAGCAGCTGGGAGGCCCGCTGCTGGAACGGCTCTGGTTTGAGGTGGGGGTCGCAGGGGCTTTGAGGCAGGGCAGGGACTTGCACGCTACTGGCTTGGGCGGGTGGCAAGGCATTTGGGTGTGTGCGGTGGACAAGGTATGAGACAGGATGCTGAGGCCTGCAGGGTTGACTCGAGATTGCTGCTCACACTGACAAGCACATGCTCCCCTGCTGCCCCAGGTGCCGTGGAAGTTTGTTGCTTTTGCCCACCTACTGGGCGATGAGGAGGGCGACGACGAGCTGCTGCCCTTCATGGCCAGCGAGTCGCGGAGCGCCAAGCGGCGCGCGGGCGCGCGGCGGCGCGTCAATGACGAGGACGCGCTGGAGGCGCTGCATGCGCTGCGTTCGGAGCTCGAGGTGGGCTGGAAATCGTGGGGGTATCCTGCGAGCCACGTGCAGTGGGGGTGGGGCGTGGTGGGGCGTACTTTGGGTGTTCAGAATCCGGCCTTTCCGGGCCTGTTTGTTGGTGCTGGATTGCCAAGTGTATGCATCCACGGCAAAATGGGGCACAGCAAGCCCTTCCCTTGCCGGGACAGCCCCTGTACCCGTTGCAGACGCACTCACTCGGCCCATTGATTACTTGCTTCAGGCCCTGAGATCTGAAGGCACGCCCCGGCACCCGTCTGCCCCCCCTTTCGTACAGATTGTGCGTACCCTCGCCGACCAGGTCCGCAAGCGCGAGAAGACCAAGCGCGTGCTGCTGCTGCTCTGGCAGCAGGAGTGGCGCATGCGCGCCCACCTCGGCAACTTCCCGCCGCCGACGCCCCCGCCGCGCCACGATAGCCGCGAACTCCCGCACTGGGGCCACGGGGTCGGCCACCCCCTCGGCCGCGGCGCGACGTCCTCGCGCGCGCCCTCGCGGCCCGCGACGCCCGCTGCGGACAGCGACTACGAGCGCGAGGACGCGCAGCGGGCCGGCGCGCGCGCCGGCGGCGAGCCCGCGCTCAACCGCAGGGGGCGGCCAGCGCGCGCGGCTGCGGCGGCCGCCAACGCCGGCATCCACGCGTCAGTGCAGGCGGAGCGGGACGTGCCTGAAAACGCGTGGGCGGCGTCGCGGGGGCGCTCACCGCGTGTGCACGCGCCGGAGGCCGCGGCGGCGCGGGGCGTTGGGCTCGGTCATGCTGGCGGCGGCGGGGGCGACGGGCAGGGCTTGGAGGAGGGGGGCCCGGCGTGGGGCCAGAGGCGCCGCCGCGGCTCGCCGCACGTATCGCCGCGCGTCCGGCGGCCAGCAGCAGGCGCGCGGCGCGGGACGGTGACGTTTGCTCACCCCTGGGAGGATTTAAGCGAGGGCGAGCCTGCAGGCACGGCGGCGCAGCCTCAGCAGGGGGGTGGGCGTGAGAACGGCAGTGCCAGGGCCGGGGGCCGGAGCGGCGTGGCCGGCAGGCGTGTCGGTGCGGCAGAGGGTGGGGAGGAGGACGAGCGGGCGGCGAGGGCGCCGCAAGTGCCGCCGCCCGCCAAGCGTCTTCGCGCCGCCGCACCTGTCATAGATGCTGCTGGCCCGAGCGCAGGCGGCGCCCGCGCGCGTGTGGGACCCTCAGGCCGGCAGCAGCAGCAGCAGCAGCAGCAGCAGCAGCAGCAGCGCCAGCAGGCCCCACCTGAGCCTGAGCGAGGGCCATCATTGACACAGCCACTGCAACAGCAGCAGCAGCAGCAGCAGCAGCAGCAGCAGCAGCGTCGTGGGCGCGGGCGCCCTCCGGCGACGGCGGTGGACCCGCAGCCACGCCCCGCGCTCGGTGGCGGCACTGTCCACGAGCACGGCAGCGACCACCCTGATCACCAACCGGGAAAGCTCATTCGCAGGAACGGCGTAGCTGTATTCAAGACGCAGGAGGGCAGGCTGCTGTTTGGCGCGTCTGCACGCTCCGCAGCGGCCGGCGCCGCACGTCGCGCAGCTCAAGACGTTGCGGCGGAGGCGGCGGCGGGGCGCTCTCAGCAAGGGGCGTCGCGGGGCCGCAGCGGCGGCGGCAGGAGGGCCGCGGCTGCCCCGCAAGGCGCAGGGCGGCAGACGCAGGCTGCAACAGGGCGGCGGCGCGCGGCGGCAGCGGCAGAGGACGACAGGGGCGGCGAGGGCGGTGGCAGGGGCTCAGGCGCCGTGAGCGATGCCAGCATCGAGGCTACGTCAGAGGAGGCTGAGGTGGCAGCGGGGATGGCCGATGAGGAGGACCTGCTGCTGAGCTCCGGCGAGGGAGAAGAGCAGAAGCCGAGCCACCGGCACAAAAAGCAGCGCGCTGCCGGCAGCCGTGCGAAGCCGCCGGTGGTGGTCGTGACAGCGCCCAAGCTGCAGCGAAGCCAAGCTGCGAAGAGGCCATCAGACGCAGCAGCTGCTGCTGCTGCAGCTGCTGCGGCCAAGGCGCTGGCGGGCCGCCCAGAGCCGAAGGATTCCCAGTCGTGGTCACAGGGAGAGCCACCCGCACCCGCCGCAGCCCCGGGCCCTGCAGGCGCAACCTCGGCCCGAGCCAGCCGCCCGGGCGCGCTTGCGGCCGCTGCGGTCCGCGCTGCGACCACTCGCGCGCGTGGCGGCGGCGCTGGCACCCGCGGCGGGCGTGCGGCCGCTGCGGCGCGACAGAAGCAGCGGCGCGGGGCGCCGGCGGCGGACGAGCGGGTGGTACGGGGTGTGGGCAAGCGTGAGCTGCGTGACCTCGGCATCAACCAGGATGCTCTCGAGGTAGCAGCCTCCTGGCGCCACCTCTTCAAGCCGCATTGACGCCCTCACACTCGGGGATGTAGTAGTGGTGGATGACTGACCGTTTACTTTGGCCCGTCATTGACCGTTTGACTTCTGACGATTGGGTCGAGTGCACCTGACTGCTGACTGCACGACTGCGTTCCATGTTCTCTGTTGTTGCGCTGACTGGAACCTCGCAGAACAACTTCCTGCTTGCTGTCGGAGGCACGCCTGCCCGGGCACTATGTGGCTCGTGCCGCAGAGCAGACTTGACCGGCCCTCCTGCTCGCGGCAATGCTCACCCATTGCTATCCTGTGCACCTGCTTGTGCAGTATGGCCTCGGCCATTATTGTAATTTGACAAGTTCGCACCACGCTGATCCAGGTTGAATTACAAGCCATTCAACAGTTGCTCTTTGCTTTGTAGGGCTGATCAAAGTGTTGTGGGCCTGGTCAACATTGCATTGGTTGCAGCTCGTTGGCTCATTCGAGCCAGGCCTGGAAAAGCATGCCGCAGCGGCATGGCGCAACAGGTGCATTTCTAACCGCGTATGCCACCCCACGGTCGATGATGTGCAGATCACGTACATCCCTGGCTGCACTGCCAATGTTGACTCAACACTGGTGCTGCATGCCCGCCAGGACGGTCCGCCTGTCGCCCCAGGTGGTTGCTTGGGGGCTGCTGTCGCGTGATAATGCAATGATTGGCGGCAGACGGCCAGACCAGCAGCCCTTGCTGTCAAGGGATTGTGCTGACCTCCTGATCTGATACTGATCATGGTGGTTTGCGCATGACGGTGAGCCAATGGAACGAAGCTCCGCGGCCTTGGAGCTGGGATGGTCAAGGCAGCTGGTCAACCCCAAGTCAGCTTGAGGGTGGCTTCAGTACAACCCGTCAGCAGCATAACCACTGACCGTTCAAAAATGCAGCAAAGATGCATAAGGATGCAGAGCGGGGTGGCTGCAGATTGGCTGCATGCGCTTGGGCCTGCACCCTCAGCACAAGCAAACGAAACAGCCCGAGCGAGCCGACCTGGCGGGAAAGACCACCGGCAAGCTCATGGTACTCCCACTGCAATGCAATGGAGCAGCTGTGCTATGGGATTATAATGAAAATCAACGCACGCCAACAGGTGGCAGGGCAGCAAGGATTGCGAATACTCTGCTGCAGGCAGGCAACCAATGGACAAAGATCGCGTGTAGTCCTCACCGGCCTTCGTTGGTTATCATAGCGCATCGAGCAATATTTCGGGCAACACAACAGCGCGAACCCCGGCCCTGCTGGGCTGTGATCTGCTGCTCCTGGCTGCCGGCCAGGCGTCCTCTCCAGGAGTCTGAGCTGCAGCCAAAATGTCTCGCTTTCGTGGTGGCGGTAGCTGGGCGCGGCCCGAGAACGCGCTCAAGCGCGCGGAGGAACTGATAGGCGTGGGGCAGAAGGCGGCCGCGCTGCAGTCGCTGAGGGATGTGATCACCAGCAAGCGCAGCAGGGCTAACTGGTCTAAGACGTACGAAGACATCATGTTCAAGCTGATGGACCTCTGCGTCGAGATGAAGCGCCGCAATGACGCCAAGGAGGCGCTCATGCAGTACCGCAACATGTGCCAGCAAGTTAACATCAACTCGCTAGAGGAAGTGATTAAGTACTACCTCAACAAAGCTACAGAGATGGCGGAGCAAGCGAGGGTGCAGGCAGAGGTGCGATTGCGCGCGGAGGTGGCTTGTGCTGGGGTGCCCCCCCCAGCTCGTTGCGGCAGTGCGATCCGCAGCAGCAGCTGGTGCAAACGTCAGCGCAAATGCCCTGCCGTGGCAGCAATACACGATTGCACCTTATCAATGATGAAGGCAGCACGCGTGCAATCGGCTGCGACTCTTGCGCTGCAGCAGCTTTGTGCACGTACCACCGCACGGCCGCGTCTGCTGCGGCTGAGCCCAGCCCTCCCCCGTCCCCAGGCGACGTCCCTGGACACTGTGGAGGACCTGGAGGAGGACGCGAAGCCAGAGGACCTGATGCTGTCATATGTCAGCGGGGACAAGAGCAAGGTGGGTGTTGCAGACCGATGTGGAGGGCCAATGTGAAGAGGCAGGCTGCGGCCGGAGCACAGGCACGGTTGCAGATTCTCGCAGCAGGGATCCTTGTGGTGGTGGGCTGGAGACCAGCTGCAGGGAGCGGCATCTCTACCCATTTGGCGGCCGCACAGGTGGCTATCCTGGGCGCCATCCAACGCACAACGCTCCCAGCAGCTGTTGCCCTGCCCGACCCCACAACCCAGCCACCCCCCAAATTCCTCGTCCGCGCCTCTTCCCTCCTTGCCGCACTCCCAGGACCGCACCGACCGCGAGCTGGTGACACCCTGGTTCCGCTTCCTGTGGGAGAGCCACCGCAGCGTGCTGGAGATCCTGCGCACCAACCCCAAGCTGGAGGCGCTGTACGCCATGGCGGCGACGCGAGCGTTCGGCTTCTGCCTGGCCTACAAGCGCAACGCCGAGTTCCGGCGCCTGTGCGACATCCTGCGGCAGCACCTGGCCAACATGCAGAAGTACCGCGACACGCGCGACATCACCGCGCCCGAGTCGTGGAGCCTGCACCTGGAGACGCGCTTCGAGCAGCTGCGCGTGGCGTGCGAGCTGGAGATGTGGGGCGAGGCGTTCCGCAGCGTGGAGGACATCCAGAACCTCATCAGCCTGGGCAAGAGGCAGCCCAAGCAGCAGCTCATGGCCGCCTACTACTCACGCCTCACGCAGATCTTCAAGGTGTGAGGCGCCCGTTTTTGGGGAGGGGGGGGGGGTGAGGTCGGGGGGTGCAGCACGCGCGTGCCGTTCTGCAATGCAGTGCGTCCTGGATGTGAGCGTCGCCTCACACTCCACAGCCGCGTGGCCGCGCCCTCGAGTCCCTCCTCTAGGGCTGTGTCCTCTCCCAACGCTGCGCGCCCCTCCCCGCGCCCTGCCGCACCCCCCCTGCCCCCCAGGTGTCCAACGCGCAGCTGTACCACTCGTACGCGTGGCTGAAGCTCTTCAACTTCAGCCGCTCCTTCAACAAGAACCTGACGCCGGCCGACGTCTCGATGATGGCGACCAGCGTCGTGCTGGCCACGCTGAGCGTGCCGGCCTACGACCGCGCGCTGTTTGGGCGGCAGGACGACCTGGCGGCGGACCAGGAGAAGGAGCGCACCATCAAGATGGCCAACATCCTGGGCTTCGCGGTGGTGGGTGCCCAGGGCCGGGCGGGGGGGGGGGCTGCTGGTGATAAGCATCGGTGGCCTGTCGGGTGGTCGCCGGCAACTCTGAGCTGCCGTGCAATGCGTTGTTCAGTTGGCGGGTGCCTGGGTTTGGCTGTGGAATCTGTGCCGTGCCATGCAGCCCTCTTTACGGTTGGTTCCCTCCTCCCCCGGCTTTGCCCCAGCTGCCTCGCACCGCCCCTCTCTCTCACGCCCCTCCTCACAAC